GCTGGCCACGTGACCCGGAAGTGTCTCCGGACAGCGCTGGCCCCCAGCCTCTTAAGCGAGATGGGCGGACAACCCCAGAGTCGGACACGACTGGCCCATACGGGCAGGGGTACCTTTACCTTTAAACCCAAAAGAGGTGCCTTATTAACTCACTAGTGCATTGCCCCAAGAAAAAGATATTCCATTTGGGAGCACTACTAATTCACCTGTCTTTAAATCTGTTTACTAAAGTGTAATACTTTTGTACAGAACACAGTTTGGTAGGTTAGGTTGCAATAACGGCTATAAACCTCCATAGAACAAAATACAGTAAGATAGATCTATGCTTCCATAATATGGATTATTTTTTAAAATGCCAAACTTTTCCTCTTTTTTTTGCTGTTCACATTCACTAATGCACCAGTTGTAATCTGCAGTCCCCTTAGCAAAAAGCTTGCTTTATGGTGTCATGATTGCTTCTGATAAAAGACACTGGCGGGCTATTATCTTCTGATTCGACCCTCACTCCTACCACCACATCAGACCAACGCAGCACGGCTCCAATCAACATCTCCTCCACCTAACTCGGCACTAATAGCAATGGGCGGGGCAAAAGGTAGTCACGCCCTCATCCCTACTTCGCGCCTCTTCACTGCGGCAGGAAGGACATCATCGCTCCGCCTAACATCCTTAAACCGTCCAAGGCTCTCGTGCACGCTACGTGCGTACTACAGATTTCGCGCGCGCGCTCCGTAAAGATCAGTTTCCGCTCTCCCTTCGCCGCCATTTTGAATCCAATACTTCCTCTTTCTCGACAAGCGCTATTTGAACGCTTGAAAAAAAATAAACCTGCGCAACTTGTAATTAACAGAATCTTAAACATGTTTTCATATTTGATTCATCAAAATTAAAAACAGTGCATAGTCCTCAGGAACAGACATTTATGTATAATACGTGTGTGTGTGTGTGTGTGTGTGTGTGTGTGTAATCTCTTCCGGGGTTTCAAACCTAACGGCGCCTGAGCGTCCAAAACCCTGTAATTAAGTTTACAGTATCTCCCTTGACGGCCCACTTGCGCCGCCAGCGCGTTTCCATGACTATTTCGGTTGGGAAAACGAAAACGGATTTTTAATTTGAATCGGCCCAACTCTGGGAGTAGGAGGGAGGGGGCAGGGTGGTCTCGCGGTTTGCTTCCGGGTCACCGGCGGCCATTTTGTGGCGCTTAAGTGTTCGGGGAAGGGCGGCACCTCGCTCATTTGCTCGTGGCTGCGCGGAGATGGTGGTGAGCGAGTGAGGCCCTGTCCGCGCGCTTGAGACTCGACCGCAGGTCCCGATACCTGCAGCCCTAACGGAAGAGGCCTTCCGCCGCTACTCCTCACCCCCAGCCCTCTCGTCACGCGCCTTCTTTCCCCACCCCCACCCCCGTCACCGCTCCGCTTCTCCGGCGTCACCCCCTCCTCCCTTCCCTTCTCCCCTTTCCCCTCCCGCTGCTATGAGTTACGGGCGGCCGCCGCCGGACGTGGAAGGCATGACCTCGCTGAAGGTAGACAACCTGACTTACCGCACCTCCCCGGACACGCTGCGGCGCGTCTTCGAGAAGTACGGCCGCGTCGGGGACGTCTACATCCCCCGCGACCGCTACACCAAAGAGAGCCGCGGCTTCGCCTTCGTGCGCTTCCACGACAAGCGCGACGCGGAGGACGCCATGGACGCTATGGATGGGGCCGTGCTCGACGGGCGGGAGCTGCGCGTCCAGATGGCCCGCTACGGGCGGCCGCCCGATTCCCACCACAGCCGCCGGGGGCCCCCTCCGCGCCGGTACGGCAGCGGAGGCTACGGACGTCGGAGCAGGAGGTGAGTGGGGGGGGGAGAGAAGGCCCCGCGGCTGCTCCGGAGGCCAAGGCTGGGCGGGTGGAGGGGTGTATGGAAAGTGGGATCTTGGGCGTGTGAAGGTAAAGGGAGTGATTGTTGCGAGTAACTTGAAGTGGCAAACGAAAGGCCTGTGTTCTTTGCGGATCGCTTTGGCTCAGGTCGGCGGGAAAAGAGCTGGGCCACGTGATCCCCGAGGGCGAGGGATCGAATGGGCGGCGCGGAGTTTTCTCCTTTAGGCGTCATAAACGAGATCTGGCCGGGAAATAGCATTGTGAGTTTCTAGCCGTTACTCAATCCGCCCTTTTTTCTCCCTTCTCAATCCTTCCTCTAACCCGCCCGCTCTCCGCAGTCCTAGAAGACGTCGTCGCAGCCGGTCCCGAAGCAGGAGCCGCTCCAGGTCCCGAAGCAGATCGCGCTACAGCCGCTCCAAGTCCAGATCCCGCACACGATCCCGGTCTCGTTCCACTTCCAAGTCCAGGTCTGCCAGGAGATCGAAGTCCAAGTCCTCATCTGCCTCCAGATCTCGCTCCCGATCGAGGTCCAGGTCCAGATCAAGAAGCCCCCCGCCTGTTTCAAAGAGGGAATCGAAGTCGAGGTCCCGTTCTAAGAGCCCTCCTAAGTCTCCCGAAGAAGAAGGAGCTGTGTCATCTTAAGAATATGGTAACGTGTCTGGCGGCCTACTGTATTTGCATGCTGTATTGTAGCACTCTAGTGGGTATTGGGTTCTTGAGACAGGATTCTAGCGTAAGTAAATCCTAATGGGGCATGTTCGTTTATGAGGAGGGCATTTTAGCTTATGGCTAATAAAATAAAATGCAATTTTTTACAGAGACTATATTTGTGTTTTGTTGCAATTAATAGCTTGCTTTTTAATATCTATTGTTTGAGACGCAACCTATTTCTGAAATGACTATTTCTTACTGTTCTTACCCAACATCTGCATTTTCCCCTTTAAAGCTGCGGTCTCCTGTTTGCTTAAAGAATATTGGCCAGTATTGCAGATTTTAACTGATTTGGCTGATCCTCCAGGGACCAGTTTCTGTGGGCGTGTATTGGAGCAGGTTTGTCTTTAAATGTTAAAGATACACTATCCTGTTAATGACCAATCAGTCCTGTGTTTACAATGCTGAACGGCATCCAATATTTTTAAAAGTGGAAGGTGAATTGCAAGAGCTAATGGAAATCAGTTTTATCTAAAGTACGATTGTGGGCTTCTAAGGATATGTAGGGTGGGGAAAATGGATAGTGTGTCTTTAACCTCCCTCAAATTGTTTGGTCCTGTTTTTTCAACGGAAGTGGGCCTAGAATTGTTAAGTTACACAACTATTTAATGATTCTTCAAGGTTTTGAATAAGAACTAATGCCTAATGTGAATTGGGCTGGATTCAGGTTAAGGGTAGTTCGATCTTAGCCCGACACTATGTAACATCAATAATGGAGATTCAAAAAATTCTCATGCTGTCTACATTAGTATCCAGTATCATGGTGGGAGGTGGGCATTGCACATTTCTAAAACAGTGAGACAAGGCCAGTATTACTAGGAATCAGAGCATCCATAAAATATGGAGGACATACAAAGGGGTACCTTGCTGAACTATACCTTTTTCAAACCTAGATAACGTCAAAAACATGAGAAGCCTACATAAAGGAAGCCTTGGAGGAAGTACGATCGTTCGAATCGCCAGTCCATTGGAGAGATCCCGGCACAACCAACCAGCTGTTGAAAAGGTTATTTTGTAACACTTTGTCTAACTTTTACTTTACTTTTGAGCCTCAAATGGCAGACTTTTACATTTATGTGCCATTTTGTTGCTATTATTCAAATTTCTTGTAATTTAGTGAAGTGAACGACTACAGATTTCATTATTGACTTGGATATGTGAGGTAAAATTTTCATTTTTGTTCATGTAGTGCTGATTTTGCAAATAAAAGTGATAACTAACTTGCTTCCTCAAGTTTATTAAAGATCTATGCAGCTGTGATATGCTGAATAGCTTAATGCTGTCCACATGCTCAATTTTTGCCTTTAGTCTCAAATTCTGAAATTTTTAATTCAAATGCATTTGCAAATACTTCGTTGAAATAGTATCTACAAGTCAAACGTTAAACTTTACAGCTGACAATTATTTTGAACAATTTGTTTTTATCAGACAAAATTCTAATCTCTTCTCTTATGTATTTTTGTGCACTAGGCGCAGTTGTGTAGCAGTTGAGTAATGCTGGTTAGCTGTTAAGGTGGCGTGTTGCAGTGCAGAGTGCTTGGCTGTTTCCTGTTTTCTCCTGATTGCTCCTGTAACGATGCCTTGTCGTGCAGAAACAAATGGCTGTCCAGTTAATTATAATTGCCTGACAACTGCACTTCCAGTCACCCGGGCCTTGCATAAAAATAACGGAGCATACAGTGAGCACATCTAGCTGGTGGTAAACACACCTTATTTTTTTCCAGAATGGTAAATTAGACCATCTACATATGTGAACTTGGATATAAACAAATGTAATGTTAAAAGCATTTGATTCATTCCTCTGTAAGTACTGACTTGGAGTATCTCTTACAACATTCTATACTATAACCACTGTGTCTGTAGTTTAATAAAACACTTACTTGGTGTTCAGTTTTTTGAACTCTTATATCCTGACTCTGCTTTGTATGTTAGAAGCGAACAAAATCTGTCCTATTTCAGAACAGTAGCTAATGTGTATTAACCTTCATTTAAATATAACAAATCACATTTGGAGTACTTTTCCTTTGAAATTTGTATTAATTGTTCCAGATCTGCAGGATAGGAGTCAATAATGTACCTCTACAGTACACTATAGTAGAGCACACAGATGGGAATATTGCACATAAGTCATTGGAGGTGTTTTCTGGGTAGTGGATACATGAAGTAGGAAACTAAACTGATTAAGCAGAATATGTGATCTTAATGTGAGAATGGCTGCACTAAAACTTTTAATAAACATGCTGTGTACATTGACAGCTATGTTGGGGGCAACTGCTACTTCACTGCTTAATGTTGGGGGAAGAATAGGGGGAACCCTTGAATTGCAAGGAAAAACACCACTTCATAGTGCCACATAAACTCTCCATTTAAGAGCATCTATCGTAAACTGGCTGAATGTACAGCTTGCTAGTATATCCAACCCAAATGTGTTAGAGGTAAATAACTTTTATTTTAAAACAAATCAAAGCAAACCTCTCTTTTAAACAGTAACAGGATCTGACTTGGTTGCTTTATTTGTTGTGAGGATCAACATTTCAATAGTATGTCTCCCCGGAAGAGTAGAGCCTGCCAGTTGTTCCTTGTTGGCCTCAAAGGATTGCAAGGGCACAGAGATGCTTTCCATTTCCCATTTGTGAAGCAGTCCTTCAATACTCCAGTCAGCACTGAAAGAAACACCAGTCAGCACTTGAATCTTTATCATTCAATACCTTGGCTTGTGTAATCGCCAATGTATTTTAAAACTGGCTCCTCAGTAACACTTCAAGGTTACAAGTCACAGAACACCTTGTAAAAATACAAAAATGGTAATAAACTAATAGTGTGCACATTTTAGACCAGGGTCCATCAGTATGCCCTGTGAAAATGCTTGAAACAAAATACCAATACAGATACAGCATACCTTCTGATTTGATGTGTAGTCCAGAACTGAGCATGCGGATTCTTTGCCATTAGGTAGTGCACTGTACTTATAACATCTTCAAAGTCTGTATGAAATAACAGAAGTATTTAATGCGATAATACTGTAAAGTGGTGGCATTTTACTTTTGTGCCTTTTTTACTTTAGTCTTTAAAAACCTAAGCTGCCATTTATTCCATGTTGGAGAAGGGATATAAATGTGTAGAAGTTGGTAAATTATGTGCACTATATTTTGCTGTACAATGGCATAAATACTGTTATCAGAAGTATAAGTTGTAGTAACATCTATTCTAAAAAGCCTCTTCATATAAGCTTTGTTCTTTGAGTGTGTGGGGCTTTCAGCCAGTTTTGCACATGAGTTCTGCCTGTTTTTCAGATCTTGACCAAGTTTCTGCAGAATGGGTAGTGAATGGGACTGCCAACCGCATCCTTGGCCCATGGCTACACTGGCTTAGGCTAATGGGAGTTGGGGGAACCAAAGGTTCCCCACCCTTGTAACTATATTTGTTTATCCAGCTGAATAAGAGTACAACCATTGTATCTGATTCCCATTTCAAAATAAACTGTTCCCATGTGACAAGTGCAGAAAAATATTACACTGTACACACACACATGTATCAGGTAGCTTTACATAGCCTTTACTGGTCCTGACTAATTTTTTGAAGAAAGCGCAGGTGGAATATTCTGCCTATCTACCACATGTCAATAAAAGGCCACAGTGTTCCCATACTGCCATAATAATGGGTTATTTGCAGCTCCTAAGATTGTAAAAATTAAAATGATTACAAGCACATGAAAGAGTGAGGAAGGTGTGTTGCTGTCCTATTTGTGTCATGTGCCATCTAGTATGCAGAATTTTGCACCCTTAAGACTGGCAGGTGCCCAATTCATTGTGCTATCACTTGAACAACAATTTAATCAACAGTATTCTAGTTCATAGGGGAGTGGGCCATGGCTTGATGGGGGCGTAGACACTTCGCAGACAGAGGTGTTGGGATTTAGCTTCATTAAAATACCTTGGGTAATGAGAAGAGTTTGAAAAGTTCACTACATGATACCCACAGCAAGTCGGAATAGCCAAACTGATGAGACTTAAAAGTCTTAACAACATCTGGAGGACCATAGGTTCTCCAGCCCTATAGACTAGTGGTTCTCAAACTTTATTTTTACTACTTTGCTAACAGTCTTGATGGACTTTCTTTTCTACAAATTCAAACACACAAAATACTTTTGTAACTGCAATTTTCATTTCTGATGTGCTTCCAGCTTGAAGGGATTTTTGTTGCTGTTCAATAGCTGTATTTTTAAAACCACCACAGCATTATGAACATAGTGGCCCCCAGGTCATGGCATTCTTAGCCTGCAAGAATCTGGCGCTGATCAAAACTACATCTAAAAAAAAGTGTAGGACCAAGTTGCTTTTTTCACATAGACCTTTAGCAATAGAAAATGCTGACCAAGATGAGTAATTGTCCAGAACAGCTTCATATGTTTTTTTTATTATGGACATGTTGGGCATTCTGCTCTTGTTGGAAGGAAGACTGGAATATAAGAAAATGAATTCATTTTCATATAATTGACCAATGATACTTAGTCTGATATATATATTAATGAAAAGCAAATATTTGCTACTTTGCTAGATTTCCATGAGTCAGTAATTTAAGAAAAATTCCCATTTACTTTCCAAGTTGCTCTATCCTAGTATACTCTTGCAGTGCCTCAAATCAATGATTTACCATTTCTGTCATTGCAGAGCTCCCACACTTTGTGTTTTGATGATAGTTTTAGGAATTTCAATATATTGGAGACCAAGTCAAAGTTCATGTCAAATACTTAATTCGCAAATATTCTAAGAATGACACCTGGACCTTTAAGCAGAAAGGAATATCCTTTTTTTATTCCTTTTAATTTCCTTTGCTAGTTTCCACATCACTAGTATTTTACTGCATGTCTATTATTATCAGTGCACATAATTTGCATGTAGAACCACTTTTCCAATATTTGCACTGTTAACCACAGCCTCTGTGTAAATATATATATCAAGGGGAATAATATTTTTTCTTCCAATTTGGATAACACACATGGCAGACAGGAGTGGCCAAGGAGAGCTGAGGAACTACTCAGGTTTTTGTAGCCACCATTCACACCAATTTAATTTGGTGTCAAATTCTATGCTATGGTATCTTCGCACAGATGCTCAGAACATGTACAGCAGTAGATAAAACTAAAAGTTACCTTCTGGTTCGAAAAAAACGTCGGATGCCAAAATAATGTCCACTGGAGGTAAGGCCAATAGACTGGGTGATACATGACCCCAGGTGAGTCCTATGACATATACTCCTGAGAGGTTATTCATCTGGCAGCTTCTTCGACAGTTGTCCAAACACTGAGGGGATTCTGCATTATCTGACAATATAATTTCTGCTCCACATTTTGCTGCCACTATCCCAGGAAGACTCACACCTGCTCCAATCTAAACAGAGTAAAAACTGATTTTTAACACCAAATACATGTATAACGAGTTCAGAACTTTACTACAGCTTGGGTGTGTTTCTTCCTCATGATCATCGATAACTGCTAAATGAAACAAATAAAAACATACCAGCAGTTTGCTCACTAGAAGCCTCTGTTTCATTGCACAATCCGATTTCTAAGGTCTTTTTCTACTTAAAACCATTCTAGAAAGCAGTAATTTAATCTTTGATTCCTTCAGAAATGAACTGTGCCAACAGTTGTGGTCTGGTCTACATTTGCTTGTTGCAGTTTTTTAGCAGGAGAGCTTGAATGGGGAAGCAGGTATAATACTGCATGGTCTGCTACCCTATTCATATGGTCCATGTCCCTGAGATTTATGGGACTAGGGATTCCTGAATACTGATCCTGTCAAAGCCCTCTGTGTTGCAGAGAGCTAGATAACATCTCAAGGGTCACACCCATGTTTTAAATATATAGTTTTACTTTATTTTAAAATTATAATTTCATACTATAAACCTATAATCCAAGGTGTTGCATTTCCATGTTTGTTTTCAGGGCCTGACCTATTCCTGTGACTAATCTGTTTTCACTTTTTAATTGTAACCCGCACTGGGACCTGCTGGCAAAGGGCGGGTAAATTTTATAATGATGAAGATGATAATAAAATGATTACGATGATTTACCTCCAAAATTCTCTTGCCGCAGACTAGTCTTCTATGAAACCACACATATTGGGCCAGAACCACTGCACAGGGCCAAACGTACATGCCATATTGGGGATCAAGGACCTGAAAAAAGGACATCTTGCTGTAAAACATGGTTGCTTCAGAAACATCTTTTAAAGAAACATGATACAAGTGCATTTTAAGTTTTCATCAGTTTTCCTTTTTGTAATGGGATTTAGCTAAAGTGGTGCTTCAGGTTAAGAACAGTTTCAGGTTAAGAACGGACCCCCAGAACGAATTAAATACTTAACCCGAGGTACCACTGTACTCTCATTTTGACTCAAGAAAATCACCATTTTATAGTTTAAATCGGGGGAAATAAATACAGTAGACAAAAGATTCACAAAATATTTAGGGGTATGCATCCCCCCAGAAAGAAAAGATGTGTTATGGAAGCATTTGTCAACCATACGTTGTATTTCCTAAATTAGCACATACAGATAAGAAGTCAAATTACATATAAAGCACTTGTGCATAAAGGACAAATACACAGACAAACACACATACTCTTCCTATTATTTTTAAAAACATAAATGCAAACTGTGCTGAAGTTTCAACCCAGTCTGGCACATCACTGAGGCATGAACCATACATAAACACGTGCAAATGGTCGAGACAGTGCATATATGCTGTGATTTGTTTGGTTGTGAGAGTAGAAGTGGCAAAGATCTGCAGAGCAAATAGAAGCTTGAGATACAAAAGAGACAAGAAAAAATTCCTGAATTCATTGATTTGTCCTACAAAACAATCACCTGTACCTTACTTCAGTGATTCACAAATAATGGAACAAATTGTGCTAATGGATCACAGGAAGAGCCATCATATTTCTAGCTGCTGGTGAATGCTAAGGAAAAAAATCAGCATAATGGACTAACAGTGCAGTCTTGTACATCTCTACTCAGAATAATGCTCCATTTAGTTCAATGGGATTTATGCCCATGTAAGTGGGCACAAGATTGCAACCTAAATGGTTTCCACTTTCAGATCAATACTTGAAATTTAAATAGTCCTGAACTAAGATGAAATGTCGTCATTGTTACCTCCTTGTCAACAGATTTGGAAAAAAAGCACTACTTTTCTTTTGCAACAGAAAGTCCTGCCAAACCTTTGCAGGGTGGGACTAAAATAACAAGGCTACCTTTCCATCTTCACAGTTCGTTTTGTTTTAAAACAAAGCTTATCACAAAAAATAACATTTTAAAAATCCTACAAAATTGCCCTTAGTTTTCTCCTAGTAGTTAACATAAAAACAACTCAGGTGATTTTGCCTATCAAAATAAATTAAGCGGCTTTCATTAAAATGTCTCTAAGTGGCAAGCAACACCAAATGATTCGTGTGCAATTTACTAGTAAATGCAGACGCATTTGATACATATATTTCTGTATATGTATCTCCTGCCCCATATTTCTTCTGCTTTAAATTGCATAGTTCCAAATTCTGCTTCCTGCAAATACGCATTTAAAAAATGATAATGGATCAGCACCTCAGGAATAAGCACCACTAGCTGATCTCTTTCTTCTTCCTCCTCCTCCTGATGCTCTCCTGCAAACCTGTACTCCCTCACACTGAATTTGCATTCCGGCTCGCACATGGGAACCCTTTTCCCGGCAAGAAAGAAAGCTCCCGGTACATAGACAGACAACCATGAGGTGCTTCCTGAGCATTGGCTGTATCTTACTCGCTTTGGACTGATGTCTAAGTGGACCATTCGCAGTCAAGAACGTTAAAGGCGTCTTCCGGCCAAGCACCCTATCGCAGCCAGTTACGAGGAGGGTGGGATTAGGAAAAGCAGCAGACGGGATGGTGGAGTTTGTGCTGCAGCAGGGGTCCCTCGCCTTTTAATTTTTGTTTTATTCCGTCTTCATGGTTCGAAGTACCCCTGTTGGTTCAATTAATGCATTACTACTACGGAGTTAAAAAATAAATAAAAATAAAAATCTGATGAGGTGAAATGCCGGGAGAGAACACCTAAACCAACACACAGCGAAGAGCAGCTGACTGATAATGGCCAGGAGCTTTTGTGGATCAGAGCCCACTTAGATGCATGCAAGTTTTTAGTTCTTTGGTTCTTGGTTCTATTTAAAGAACTTCCGTGGGACCTACTTCCATCCGATGCACGATATCAGGCACCTGTGATCAAACCCACGTTGCGACATAGTCCTCATGCCTGCGCAGAGTCCGGCAATGTCTATGGTTTGGAATGCCACGTGTTGTTTTCAAGAAATATAAAGCACCTCCGACTGATTGAGCATATCCAGCACACTTTGTCCATAATGCTGCAATCGTTTGCACACTTGCTTGGGGCTGAGCCACTGACTTTAAGTATGATTAAACATGGATTGTTTTAACCATCTCCTCGAGCAGCCTTTAATGCGTCTCTTTCTTTCCTGGAAGGGGTAACTGTCGTGTAGCAAAAACGAAGGGTGGGATTCGACGAAGTTCTGCTTAGAGTACACCTATTGAAATGAATTTGAAATTAAATTGTTCTTGCATTTCAGTGGGTCTACCCTGAGTTGAATACCACCCAAAGACTTGTGTGTGTCCCCTTATGAACACATGCATTGGGGCAAAAGCTTTCGTGACCTCAAGGCCGCTTTACGGTGCATCTGAGGAATCTCGAGTCCACGAAACCTTATGCGTTAGGATTAAGTCTTCACGGTGCCACATGGCTGTGCGATTGTTTCTTTTCTTTCAGCCGCTCCTCTCTTACAATCCAGACTGACATTGGGAATGGGCTTTCTGACCCACGCCAGCCAGCCAGCCACATCTTATGCACCATTCCTACCTAAACGGCAGTGCAGTTCCCGTTTTGTTTTTTTAATAAAAACAACAACAACGGCAAGAGCCAGCCACAACTTTTGCACATTTCACTGCGGCGACAGAGCCCCTTGAAAGGTGGGCGATTGACTTCTCAAGATGGCGGCGGAGGCGGCGCCACTTCCTCCGCCTCCTCCAATCCTTCCCTCTCGGCGCCCTCTTTCCGCTGCCAAAGTCAGCCAATCGGCGCTGCCTGCGCGAGGGAGGGCCGAGAAGCGCCGGCCAATGGGAAGGAGCGATGCCTGGAGCGAGGCTGAGGAGGCAGCGGCGTTTGGCGGCGGAGCGAGGAGGCGCGGGCGTGAGGTTTCTGGAAGCTGCGGGGCGCTGCTCCTTCGGGCGGGGTGTCTCCGCGGCGGATCCGTAGCCTGAAGAGACGGCGGACCAAGGAGGAGGAGGAGACGGCGGCGAAGGCGCCGGCAGCGGGAGCATGAACCACAAGAGCAAGAAGCGCATCCGCGAGGCGAAGCGGAGCGCCCGGCCGGAGCTCAAGGACTCCCTCGACTGGACCCGGCACAACTACTGCGAGAGCTTCCCGCTTAGCCCCGCAGCCTGCAAGGTGAAGCGGGCGCGGGGAGGTGAAAAGGGGCAGGAAAATGGCGGGGAGGGGGGAGAAGGGCTGTGGGGCGCAGGGAGTCGGGGAGAGGCTCAAGGCCGGATCCTGCGTGAAACCGGGCAAGGTTAGGCAGGTGCCAGTCCTTCCTAGGGGCAAAGGGGCTTAACCCACAGCAGCCACCCTGTGAATGCGTGCCCGTTTTCCTTTTGATTCATCATAAAACCACATAGGGAGTGTGTGTGCGTGTACTGTATATAATATGTATATAGGTATGGGGAAAGCAGAAGTCTTGTGATCCCTTGAAGACTAAGGTGTATTGTGGTGTGAACTTTCCTGGACTGGAACCCGCAATCACCAGAGGCTGCTTGTATGCACTTGCATGCTTCACTTAACTCTGTGGCGCAAGCTGATAGATGTCCGCTTAGAAGCAAGCTACTGTACGTTGTTCAGTGGGGTCTACTTTCACGTAAATGGGGATAAAGCTTTAGTCTTGTCAGTGCAACTGTTGCTACAGATTTGAGGTTTTTCCCATTGGCATTTTAAAAAAAGTACTTTGCAAGAGCATAAGTAGCTGCTCTTTCCCTATTTCCTTCCATTTTTCTCCTGCTTTCTCTGACCATGGAACCTAAGGTGGCATATAAGTGGTTTGCCAGGCGGTGTCAGACTGAACACCTCCATAGCTTCAGCTATGTGCCTTCAGAGCACACCCTGGGAACAGAAAGCCGTTTGGGACTGTCTTGCCATCCATGGTTCTTTATTTTATATGGTACAATGACCCAGAGAGAGTGAGCTTATGAGTATGCTGTGAAAAGTGGTAGAACACTTCTTGCTGGAGATCTGGGAAATAAATCGGTTGTTAACTCAAGAACATCCGTATTCTCAAGAAACTGTACAAATCTTGTCTCAATAGTTTTGGAACAAGCGACACAAAGCAGAACTTGTTGTATACAGCATTCTAAATTTGCCAGGTGCCAAGAACAGTTGTAACCAAGTGAAGATGCCCAAGCGCCAGGAGGTTCAAGCTTGGGGATTCTTGGATCTTGACTGTCTTCACACACTAGCAACACATCCAGTTGAATTCTATCCATTATATTTATCTGCACATATAGAATGAATTTTAAGAATCAAAAAGTGTTACTGAAAAATACAACTTTTGAGTTGTCTGGCACAGCTGCCAGAAATGGCAGCTAGACATTCTGTTTGGGCGACTGTAATCCTGGTTTAAGGAGTCATTTGCTTCCTAGTGTATATATCTGAGTTTTTAACACTTAACACTGAATAAGTTTCCTTATGTAACATAGAATCCTGTGTCATCTTTACAGTGGGTAGTTATCAAGGAAACATGAATCTAAGGCTTCTGGTCTCGTTCTATTTTTTGTATCTGTAACTCTACTCTCGGAGTGGAAAGCAACCATTTAAAATTCAAATCATAAGCACACCAAAAATAGTCTGTTTCCAAGAATATTATGGACCATAAAATTACTCTTAATGTACAATCCTCTGCACATTGAACTTGGTGGGGCTTCTGAGCAAATCTCCATATGATCAGGCTTCATGTGTTGCAGATGTTTACAGATCTGACTGTTTGACATAACTTGGTTATCTTGAAACTTTGGAATCTTTATGGTGTGACATAAATGTAGGAGGGGGATCTGTTGATGTGTGTTGAAATACAAAGTAATATCTTATCTTAATGCATAGCAATTTAGACATGAAGAGGAATGGAAATTTCCATTCAAGTACTTCACTATTAGTACAGAGAACTTTTAGCTGTAGCAAGAATCTTGGGTGACTTTGGATTAAGTTGCAATGTTTTCTCTATCCCTCTGATTTCACTCATTGCTTCATGGTGATGATTCAGGTATACTTTTCAGCAATTAGGATATTGTTAGTGCTGTGCCTTATTTTAATGAGGAATAAGAATAGAATCATTTAGAACTGCATGTTTTCAGCGTAGAACAAAATTTATGTGTTTTGAAGCTTTCCTATCTAAAGGGGGATCTGTAATTGTCAGTTTTATTGCTATATTTTAAATTCCTTTGTACACTGAGGCTGTATTTGTTTATCTGAGTAAGTCCTGCTGAAATCAATGGGGCTTCCATTTGAATAGACATGTATATGGCTGCACTGTTAAAGTGTTGTAGAAATTATATTAAAATAATTATTACCATACACAGTGTTTTTCCTTGAGGGTGCCAGTTAAGGACTAGAATCTCTTGTATTTCATTAAGCATATCAGATTATCTGGCCATTTAAAAACATATTTTTAAAAGTGTGGATCACATAGTGCTATTACTCAGATGCATTCAGAATAAAACCCACTGCCTATTGGTTGCCTGGATGAGTCTATGTGCTTGTAGAACTAAGGAATATTTTTTGGGGTGGCTGCTTAATGTATATTTCTTATTGACTGGTTGATTCAGTATAAGGCTTGCTCTGCACTTGTTCTGTGGATCTTAACATGGTCACTATTATTCTGCAGTATTAAATGTGCATTATCCTGCATTGAGAACACTTTATCCATCTTTCAGGACAATGTGGAAAGGGCAGACGCACTTCATTTGTCAGTGGAAGAATTTATTGAACGTTTTGAGAAGCCTTACAAGCCGGTTGTCCTCTTAAATGCTCAGGCAGGATGGCCAGCTCAAGAGAAATGGACCCTGGAGCGTTTGAAACGCAAATACAGGAACCAGAAATTCAAGTGTGGGGAGGACAATGATGGGTACTCTGTCAAGATGAAAATGAAATATTACATTGAATACATGGAGACCACGCGGGATGACAGTCCCCTCTATATATTCGACAGCAGCTATGGAGAGCACCCGAAGCGTAGAAAACTCTTGGAGGATTACAGGGTGCCCAAGTTTTTCACAGATGACCTGTTCAAGTATGCAGGCGAGAAGAGAAGGCCACCTTACAGGTATAAACTGGTTATTTGATGCCTCGGGATAGAAGCAGCAAAGGGCAGTGATTTTTAAACAGATGTACAGTCCATCAGGGGTCCAACATTTTCCATTTTCCCTGCATATACAGCCAGAGTTGTTTTTATTTCAGAACTTTCACTAAAAGTTAACAAAAAACATAATAGGGAAGAGCTAATGAGAAATGGAGAGACATAAAAGACCCATATTTTACGGAAATGACCTTGTACTTCCTATGCCAATGCCAGATGTTCCTCCTCACTCCTACTGTCACCCTTTTGGTGACTTTACGCATTTTTGGCTTACATTCTTTGCAGTGCATTTTCCTAAGCTTATATATACTTTTCATAGCTACGTCTCAGGGTAATCAGGTTCCTTACTTTTGGGGGGGGGCTCCGCAGTTTCACACTTGTACCATGTTACCATATTTCAGTAACAAAATTATGGTACAGATCGTTGGTTCCCAAACATGCCCCCCACAGAACTGTGCTAAGTGCTACATAATTTCCAATTGATTTTTTGTTGCTTCTTTTATTTCTTTTACTATATTTTGCTATATTACAATATTTGCATTACATAGAATTCCAAATTGCAGTACAATATGAGAAATAAAATTAAAATGCCCCAATCTCTTACACCTTCCTTTTTCAAAAGGTATTCTAACTTCTTCATTTGGGTAAAATTGCCTTCTGTCTTGCCTTCTGTAGGCTTTTTTTGACTATTTACTATTATTATTTATTAGATTTGTACACCGCCCTTTATCCATAGATCTCAGGCAGTTCACATTATGCTGGCATAATCATAAATTTTAATTTAATTTTTATATGCCATCAACTTTTTAATTGCCTTTGTAACATTTCTATGGAGACATCTCCCCAGGTTCTGGGATAATTCAGCCAGCTGGGTTGAAGAAGGGTTCGTCTTGGATGGGAGGCGGAATAATGCAATTTCTAGTTAAATGAATAGCAGGCTGGGAAAGGCCTCCGGAGAGCTTGGAGAAAGCTGCTGGTTAACCTAGGCAATACTGAACTAGTGGTCTGACTTGTATAGAGCAACGTAATTTTTATCATTCTTTCATCTCTTTGCTTTCATCTCTCCTCAAATACAAACAAAAGATAAAGCAAACTTATCTCAGACTGCTTTGGAAATGGAAAGAAAACACTTGCTTTTGAGAAACACGTTAAGGAAAATAGCGGAGTTGTTTGTAACCCTGCTGGGTTTTTCCCTTTGTTCAGATGGTTTGTGATGGGTCCTCCTCGATCTGGTACAGGCATCCACATTGACCCTTTGGGAACCAGTGCATGGAATTCCTTAGTCCAAGGATACAAACGCTGGTGCCTCTTCCCTACCAGCACTCCCAGAGAGTTGATCAAAGTGACTCGTGAGGAAGGAGGGAACCAACAAGATGAAGCCATCACTTGGTTCAGGGTAATATATCCAAGGACTCAGCTTCCCACTTGGCCTTCTGAGTTCAAACCCTTGGAAATTGTGCAAAAACCAGGAGAGACTGTCTTTGTACCAGGTAAGGGCTTTTATTAAGTTTTGTGCTGAAGAGAAGTTATAGAAGATACACTTCTGGTGCAGTATCGAAGCCTGGAGAGATGCGAAACAAAGTGTCATAAGATTCTTCTTCATAGATTCTATTATGTTAGCCTGTGTGTGTTGAGCAAGAAGGATGCATAGCAAATGTGATGGGAGGTAATCCTGAAATAATGTATACTTCAGCAAGGCAACCAAGATGGAGATGTGCTAAACCTTTGAAGATTAGGAAGTGGGAGGAAGCCCCTTGAATAATGTCCTTTCAGTTCCAAGCAGATTAACTGGCACAATAGGCGAGATAATTTGTCAGCTTTGAGACTTCCACGGTGAAATGGAAGCAGAAAACGAAAGTGGACAAGTGGACTCCACTTGATCTTGCTTCTTAAAATCACTTTTGCGTTGCGTCTCTAACAAAAGGCCTAGCACCTCTTGTCACATCTGTACAAACCTGCATCTCTCCAGAAAAGGTATATGAAGCAGGGAAGCAAACACTTGGACCCTCATTTCAATTTGTTCCTTAGGGAAATAATTTATCTCCTTCTGTCTCCGACTTTTAATTTCAGAAACTCAAATACATGGGTATTATGGTCTCTGGCAGGTTAGGGCTGACCCAGTAGCAAATACTGGTTCTGTGATCTGTGGACCAGATCAGGTTTTTGGCTTTTAAATGCACACTTCTAGGACGTGAGCCAGATGTCAAATAATGACCAGACTGTAGTAGGCCTCCGTCTCTTGTGTTTGGAGGGTTTTTGGTCAGTTGACAATTGTCTTTGTAGAACTGTTGATTCTGTATCAGAAATATATCACAGTCTTCAGTTAACATGAGTTGCCTTGTCAGTTTCCCTTATAAACTGTTTTTGTCTTAGGTGCTTATTCCTTTCATAAGAAATGTGTAAATGTAATCAATTGATCATGTCTTTAATTGTAGCTTCATATGTGAGGGAAATTAATATTCTCATCATAAAAAGTCAGCTTAAAAATAGATCTCTGGTATTTGACACAGAGTTTCTGTGCAACATAGATTACATATTAAGTATGCCACTAACAGTGGAGGAAACAGAATTCCATTCTTCTGTGACTCCTTTGTTCTTTTAAAACCATACTGAAGCAAAACAAAACAGTTTTGTTTAAATACAATAGTTTTATTTAGTTCAAACAATAAGATCCCAAATAAAAACCAAGCTATTGTGCTTCCATTTTATTTATCATTTAATGTTAATTGCGCCTTCTGTCTTACTTGATATATTGATTGGATGCTGTGGCTAACAGCCTAGCCTTCCACATATTTATTTGGAAGCAAGTCTCACCATGTTTGGTAGGACTTCCAAGTAAGTGAACACTCTAAATCCTATTGAACCCAGTGAGGCATACTTCCAGGTAAATCTGTGTAGCAGGAACCCCCCCCCCCAATCATTCAGTTTGTACAAACTTCACACACACTCACACACTACATACGCCACACTTCTGTTATATATTCATAGAAAAATCAACCATACATCGGATTTGCACTGTTCCATTTTTATTTTACTCCATATGACAAGGACTATCAAAGGGGGGTGGCTTGGTTCTGGTCAGCCATAATCCCTTCACCATCCCAGCACATCCACAGGAGCCCTGCCCAGTTGCTATGCCAACCCTGATGGTCCTAGACAGAAGACCATCAAGATCACAAAGAACTTGCATATGGGAGTGGATTCAGCATGGACTGAAACAAAGGACAATGATCAGATCTTCCCTCTGGGGGCAGGAAACTGCCAACTCCCCTTTGTCTCCTGGAAGTGACTCATGGGGAGGGGGAAAGGAGGAACCAGCCAGGTGACAGGACACTCAGGTTACCACCACAACTCCTCCCTCAACCCCTCCTTTCTGTAATGTATGCATGATGTTTCTGGGGGTGGGCTTGACCTAGAGGATGGGAATTTCAAAAGTTTTGATAAGGTCTTGCACACCATCTTTCTGGGTCTTTCCTCTCTCCTGCAAGTGAGGGGAACACCCTGTTGCAACAGTTCAATAAAGGCCAAGCCTACAGGCTGCTGTTTTGCTCCAAGTTATCCTGGTTGGTGTCTTTGTTTTGTCCAAGGGAGCCCTCGGATTTTTCCGGTAACATCTGCAATGGACTGGACTGCATCACATGTTCTCTCTGTGGAGGTCCAGATCATCCCTGACCATCAGCCATGCTGGCTGGGGCTGATGAGATTTGTAGTGTAAAATATTTGGAGGACACCAAGTTGGGGAAGGCTGTCCTAGAAGGATGGCTCATCAGGTGAACAGTCCCAGAGTATAAGGAAACCCTTTTATTTCATCCACTGTTTGCTAAGCAGTCCCTTTTCCTCCTCTTATGTAGTGTCATGCTCTGCTGCTCTGAATTTTCTTCATCGATGTCAATCAGGGGTTGATTTGGGGACAAAAATACTCATTTTCATTCCCATATATGGGTTTGCTTTATTATAAATTTATACCCTGCCTTTCCTCCCAAACTAGGTTGTTTTTTTCCTTTTTCAGTTTGTTTATAATGCAGTAGGATACTGTTCTTCATTATTGTTTTTATGGTTGTAAGCCTTTGGTCTACATACTTCTTCTCTGTCCTCCGTGTCAGGGAGGAAGATTTTGACATTGTTCAGTTTCACTTATCTCAGCTTGTCCTGTTGTAAAGACCAGGGATTGCAGCTTGTAACAAAGTTGGTTGTCGGTTTCAAAACAAGCCAGCTTCAAACCCTGGTTTCTGAAACTCGCTTTTTAAGCTAGTCAGGGTTTTAAGAACATTTTCCTGTTCCAGAGAAAGTAAAATGAAATGCTGCTGAAGTCGCCCTCTTGACTGTGGGGAGAATAGGTTACGTTAGTCAGAGCCACACAACTCATGCACATCATGCTGAACACTGCATGGTTTATCACAATGTGTGAAGATGACCACTGTCTAGGAACTGGGGTTCTCTATAAAAGCAGGAAAAGTCTCAACTTGTTTTTGTTGTCTGCTAAAGCCTGGCCTGAAGTGATTTAGAAAAGACCCCATCCCTGAGTTTCTTGCACATTACAGAATACTTGGGGAGTAGCTTTTGCAGAGGGCCTTGCTGACCTCTGACTGCTTTTTAGAAAGGTGAAAAATTTCTCCCCTTTCCTCACACTTTTAAGGCAGAGGTGACTGCCACTTTTGACCAAATTTGTAAACCTTTGTGTTTATCCCAAGACATTATTGGAATGAGTATTGTACAGGAGACATGGGTTTCAAAGATGCTTCTTATACACCTCTGTTTCCAAACATGCTTTCCCCTATTTTCAAGCCTACATTTAAAAATAGCTTCCTTCGGTTGGTTGTTTATAACCTTATGTGGTGTTGCATTTGTAGGTGGCTGGTGGCATGTAGTTCTCAATCTTGACACAACTATTGCTGTCACTCAGAACTTTGCCAGCTGTACAAATTTCCCTGTGGTGTGGCACAAGACAGTAAGGGGAAGACCAAAATTATCAAGAAAGTGGTACAGGTGAGAGATGTGATCATTACTTCTGTGGTTTCCCAGATGCTGGCGGTACAAGCTAAATGTTGCTTCCTGCGTACGCCTGGAATGATGCTTGACAGAATATCTGAAAGACAGAAGTGATGAAGGTGTACTTGTTTTTGCATTTTGGAAAAAGATTGTGGCTTTCTAATAGCAGCATCTTGCATATAGTCCAGAAGGAGAATTAGGCTTCTGGATTTCAAGATTCAATAAGGTGACTCAACTGTGTTTTAAAACATATAGTTTAAGACAGGGAATGCATTTGAACACTTTGTTTAAACTTACAATTAACAGCTATCAAATAAAAATGCTAGTTCAGTAGTTGAAATGTATTATCATGGTGAAAAAGGATGTTTTTGAGCATCAGTTAAAGTTATTCTAGAAACAGATGCATTCTCACTCTGTTGTGAGTACTCATTTCTCAGATTACCTATGTGAGTAGTCTGATCTGGCTTCCCATTGAACTGATCAAAAGGAAAGGCCCATCTAGTCCAACATCATGTTTCTCATTTTCACCTTTCAGATTCCTTTTATGATGCTTACAAGCATGGTTACACTGATGGGAACAGGCCTGCTTGAACTGTTGAGTGAATTTGGATCACATTTAAGCAGCATATTGGGAATTGAGAACATCTGTATCCCATTTCTTATTTTACCTAGATACTGTACATGAGAACCCCAGTCAATATTGTTAAATTACTATTAATAAACGCTCCAAGTTGCATGTAAACACAGACTCCAGAATTGTAGCTGATGCATTTGGCTAGTGAAATAGTCTGCTGTGTCATACGGGCTGAAGATGCAAAATGTACAATAATGTTGCCATCTGCGTGTATATCTATTAGTTTGTTTTCCAACAAATATTTCTTGAAAATTTGTCTTCAAGGGTCCTAAAACAGGAACATCCTGAGCTGGCTGCACTAGCAGATTCTGTTGACTTACAGGAATCAACAGGCATTGCTTCTGATAGTTCTAGTGATTCGTCCAGCTCTTCAAGTTCCAGTTCTTCAGACTCTGATTCAGAGGTAAGTTACTACATCAGACATGCCACATGTTGTCATGGGTGGGGTTGTATGACAACAGTTATGGAGTGGGGGATGTTGACTTTCAGGTGGTGTGCTTTAGCAAAAATGATTGCATCACTAGTCCTGGTCCTATCTATAAATGGTTTCTATATTCCCCAACCCCTGCAGATGATCTAAAAGGTTTTGATGGTCAGTAGTATCAACAAGTGAATCTTCAGCAAAAGGTGGCAGTGTGGGATGTTCCTGTTCAGGGTCAACCACCACATTTTTCACTTCCCCCCTCTTGAATAGACAGCAACATTCTGTGGGCAGTGAGCACACTCAGTCACCATTGAGCTATGCTTGTTTTTTTCTTCTTTTGTACATGTGATATGCCACTGTAAGATCTAGGGAGTTGAAAAAGTCAGTCTCCAGGCAAAGTCCACCAAGGAATACTGAAGTGGCTTAATTTCCAAATCTTGGGCCAAAGCCCAACTGATATGGGCCCACCTCCAGGAATGACTAGATTCTAGAGGTGTGGCCATCGTGTTCAAAAATGAGACTTAATTGCATTCTACCCCATCTTTGGACATCTAAATAGGAATATGATAGCCTCTTAACAGCTCAGATTCTAGGAGCCTCGTAATCACTTCAGATGTCACCATGAAATAATGCTGTTCCTCAGACAATGTAGACGTTATTACTAATCAGTGATCAGAATTGCTGTTTTGATAGTCAGGATTTATTACTGCCATTTCTTTTTAGTGTGATTCTAGCTCTGAGACGGAAGGAATGATGCACAGAAGGAAAAAGCGAAGGACATGCAGCATGATGGGGAATGGCGATACAAGCTCCCACGATGACTGCGTGAGCAAAGAGCGCAGCTCCTCCAGGTGACCCAACAAATTATGGAAACTAATCAGATTTGTGGGGCTGGGCTGCTAATTGCAGACAAGGAGAGCATAGGGGAGTTGTCCATAAAGGGAGGGAGCTTCACCATGTGCTTGTAACCCACCTTACCCCACACATCTCCTTTCTCATTTCTAATGCTCTAAACTGGGACTTCTATTTATCAAAAGTGGCTAGATTTCTTCACTTTTGATTCATTTTGATTGCTTGTCCAACTCAGAACTCCTAACCTTGAAAATGGTAATGTTGTTGAGGTATAAAAATCCTAGGAGAGAGAATCAGATTCCATGCTTATAGGGATGTTAAGTGAGATTTGAATTGCTAATCATATCTTGGAAGAGACTTCTCAGGTTTTTTGTAGTTTTTTGTAGCCTTGACTTCATGTATCTCCAGTGTTGTAGATGTTGATGTTCAAATAGTAGGTCAGAGCTTATGCCTGGTAAGCTTCCAGTGGTGGGTGGTAGGTAACAAAGGAAAAGAAATGGTGTCTCTTGTACCACTGGGTCATTCTTCAGAGGCAGCAGGTGGATTCTGACCATGCTATCTATTGGTGGATCCTGTTGATATAAAGCTTAGGAGTTTCTGCTTTTAAGACAAAAAAGTGGATCTCTGAAGAGCTGTTGTCCTGCTGTTGGTAAGGCTTGTGGCTGAGGTAAACATCTTAAGATGGCATCTCATCTCTCTTGCTTGTGTGGTCTGAAGGCTAGCAGGATGGGAATTGTTGGGTAATTAAAGACTCTTTCCCAGCTATTTATGTCAGTACTTTTCTCAGATATTCATATGATTGGCTAGCCACTTCTGATTCCTTTGCAGTAAATGTATTAAAGAACTGGAGCTACTTCCAAGAAGCTTGAGGTGCATTAGATTCTCTATGAAAAGTTTTTTTTTACAGCCATCTTGCATAAGCTAAAAGATGCATGCCCTGACATGACAGGAAGTTGTGTTTTTATTTTTGTTGTTATTTTTGACAGGATTAGGGAATCTTGTGGAAGCCGTGCTCATCCCTGAAAGATAACAAGACCCATCTAAAGGCAGTTGCAGCCAGCCAGCAGTCTTCTATTCTTCCTATCAACTGTATGCTTGGAGCTTTCTCAAGTCTTCACCACTCCTTTTTATTATTATTTTTAATCCAAACTTCTACTTGCCATTACCTGCTGACTTCTTGCTTACTAAAGGAGAAAACTAGAGATTTCTATGTTCTCAAAACTTTCTGCACTCCATCAAACAAGCTTTCTTATACATCAGAAGACAATGCCGCCCTCTGCAAGGCTGTGCTGTGGCTCACAACTCTGTGCAGTCGGCAAAAGAAAATGGGGAATATCTATTCAAAACGTAATCTTAAAAATAAGCAGGTAGCTCCTGAAAGCCTGTGTCAAGTTCCAACATTGTCATATGTTTACAAGTTGAGTTCTCGTGCACTACAACTGGAGGTCAGAACTATAACCTCTGCTGCATGTAACTAGTCAGCAGATCCTTTAACTAGAGCACAAAAAGAGACACTGTGTTAACTGTATCCAACTAAGTACCCTTCTGTTGTGTAAAAAATGATCACCCTGTAAGAAGCACCTTTTTGTAATTCTTAATTTGTTGATGACACCAAACCAACCATGGACTAATAAGATTTGTGATATATGTAATGTCTGAACCAGCAGTCCATTTCCACAATTACATATGCTTTCTATTTTAAAGAAAAGCTGCTGGATTTTGCAGTAAGTTTGTAAGTTTGCCCCAGAAAAAGTAGGTATGGAAGAAGCTGTAGTTGCCTCTTTTACCTCTCCCTGTGGGAGCTTCTGGAAACATTATATGAAGGTAAAGCTTTTTTATATGGAGTGTATGGAGTCTGAAAAAATACAATAAAAAAACCATTTTATGAAGAACTGCTGCTCTGCAGCCCAGAAACTTCCTACTCGTATCTGCTGTTGTAATATGGCAGGTATTTTTACGTGTGTGTGTTTTGTCTTGAAATAAGATGTGGTTGTGTGTATCTTAAGGTAGCTGTATTCTTTCAGGATATGTTGCTGCTTCAAGGTTTTTTGTTTCGTTAATGGAGATGGGTGTTATGTGTTAAGATGGGTCTTGTACCTCCATACACAACAGTCTCTACCCTGAAGGTCTGCAATATAGTGAAAAGGTCTGATGCCCCAATAACACTTAAAAGCAAGTTTAATGATTAATTGGGTATGCTTCAAAATTCTCTTCTTGTTTTTCTGCTTACCCCATTACCAGCAACCTAGGGAGAATTCCCATCTACTGGCTGATGCATTGTGAAAGTACTAATTATTCATTTCCAAAATACTACCATATCACTCAGGCAGGGATCCATATATCACTTGCCAGCCTTAACTCCATACTTGCACAAAACTATCATTTTTTGTGAATGCCAACAGTATGTGTTAAAAGGATGGCTGCCTTCTGTATCCCATAACTGTTTTCTTCCAGGCTCCTTTTCCTTAAAACACTTGAGTTAAACTAGCAGACTTGTACCTGATGCTGCTCAGCCAGTGCAGTTAAAATCAGTATCGTTTGTAAGGTTCAGTCCACTATCTTGATTCAAAATTGCATCCAAACATTGAGGAGAACCTGATGTCTGAACTCAGTAACCATCATGCAAAGTTTGGTTACAATATCTTAAGAAGAAGGATCCAAATGCATAGCGAACGCACAAACACCTTTCCAAAATTTATAGCAGATGAAAGTAACCAGGTGAATTTACCTTGCATACCCCTGGATTTTACAACTTCCTGGGAAGTTGTATCTATATAACTTTATGTTCCAATTTTTTGTGGCCTGTTACCCAAGAACTCGTAACTCAGGAGGCAGATGAACAGCAACAGGAAAGGAATTAGGACTAGTATAGATATCTTAACATTGACCAGAACATTTGAAGCAGCCTGAGTCAGCCCAATATTTACTCATTGGCAGCGGCATTTTCAATATCTTGGGCAAAGGTCTTTTCTAGCCTTGCTTCCTGCTATTACGTTGTTTGACAACCGTGGATTGCACCAATAACCTTCGGCATGCCAATCAGAATTTGGCAAAATCTGCCAGTGCTGTTAAAGTATTCCTTGCAACCATGAGGTTTAGAATATTGAAAGTGTATTTGTTTTGCTTTCTGTGTTTAAAAAAGGAGACTTGTCTAATACATTCTGTGTGGCCTTTATGCACTAGGTTTGCAGGGAATGTCATCTTTACCTAGAAGTCTTAATTCCTGTTTGTCATACCGGGATGCAGATACATTTGTTCAGCCATGTACATTTATTTAAACTAGGATTACAAACCTTCACTGAGTTGATCAGTGAAATTCATCTGGAAGTTGGGGGCTAAGTATGCTTGGTGGGTGAGGCTGAAGAGCCCTGCCATTTGGGTACAATATGCTAACTTTCTCTGTCTTGTATCAAATATGCCATTAAAACACAAACCTGGGTGGCTTTTTTCTTTGTATCAAAAACTGATGGATACTTGGCATTTCAGGGTTAAGCCAGTTATAATTTTTTAGGAATAGTCACCACAGGCAATTGAACATGTCAGTGTTCAGCTACAATCAGTGTCCTTTTTAAATGTATATCTTCCACAAGTGGGATTTGTTCATTTGTAGATGCTATTTGCCTCTGTTACTGTACTAGGGAATATTTTTATTCCAGATCTCCCAAACTGATGAAAAAAACCCACATTAAACTTGGGCTTTCTTTCTTTAAAAAAGTTGTAGATTTTATTTATAGGAATGTACTTCTTGCATCTGAGTAGCTGGCTAGCTCCTTTCAGTTGCGCTCTTTCAGTGTTGTCATTTTCATTGTTTTGCCAGATGCCAACTATATTCCTGTTCTGCGGAGTTGAAGCCAGGCAGCTGTCATGCTGGAGGAAAGTAAATTGGTTTTGTTAAGTACCAATCATTCAGATAGCCGTGGGTTGGGAATAAGGATCCTGAATTCTTTACTTGCCCAGGGTTGCAAGCAGAAGGAAATAACTCCAAGCTTCTGGTTTAATGATTCCTTTGTGATGGGGTGACAAGAGTGTGAAAACTGCAATATTGCTTCTAAATAATCCTTGCCGAGAAAATTTACAGCTGATCGTTGTTTAAATCACAACTCTTATTTTAAAGATACTGCTTTTCACAAACTCCCCCCCCTTAATGTGCCTCTTTGAAAACTAATGCAGTGTTTATATTATGCCAGCTGCAGTTAGACCTGAAGTTGCTGCCTAAAAGTCCAATGGCTAATACTTGGCTTTTTTTATAACTATGATACCTAGAAACCTATGAGATTATAATGATCCTAGCCAGGATCATTATTAAACACTAATTAAACAACAGGTGTTTTACAAATCAATATATCTCTAGCTCAGACTTTATTTTCAGGTCCTTAATCCTGTACTGTTATTAGAACATCCTTTTAAAAGGATGCATGTTTTACAGTTACCCATCTGATGAAAAATTTCACTGAGAGCTTGTGATTGCATCAAAGAAAGCCCTGGGTTTATTAGCTCTTCTTGCATATTTCAGTTAAATTGGATCAACCTTTTTTCTGAACAGCTTTCAGCAACAGCCATTTCTTACTTTGGGAACTGTGCTAAATCCTTTTATTTCTCGAATTCCTAATGACTGTGTCATTGTGTTGAGGATACCTGAGAGGCCCTTAGACTAGAGCTCCATTCTTCCCTTTTGTGAGGGGCGAAGTCTCTGGACTGTTTCAGCAACATTTAAAGTGCCACCTCCGCTAACAACTTGTAAAGTCTAATCATTTAATGGAACCAGGGTGGGAGTGCTCTGAATTGTTCTCTGAATGATTTTCATGTTTTTCATTTTTAATTTTTTTAAAATAAAGCCTTATTTTCCATTACTTCACTTGTACTTAGCTTTCATCTAAACATTGGGTGATAATCTTTTTCCTTATGTGCAGTAACTAACTTGCAGTGTCACAATTTGTAGGATTCTGAAATACTTGATGCAGTGCAGCATGCTAACTAGAATATATATTCTGCTAGAGCTTCAACTTCTTATTGAATTTGTATCCTGATTACTGCCTTGCATTTTCTAGGAAATGCTTTAGATATTATTGTACCCTTCTGCATAGAGGAAATCAGAAGCCCAATGTGACTTTGTGCTTCTGCAATACATACATTTGAAAGCAACAGTGAATTGGCCTTTAGTTTTGTGTAGCCTCGATAAGGATATCAGAGACAGAACAGATTGCCTTTAATTAACTTGTAGCTTTCGGTTAAGCCATATCAGACAAATTAAACATAAGTTTGATATGGCTTAACTGGAAGTTACAACATCCTTTACTTAGCCAGAGCAACCGCATAGATCTGAAAAGAAGTTGTGAATCTCTGCTTCGCTCTCTATGCATGCCAGGCGGTGTGCTACTTACTCAGTGCTAGGCTATAGTTATGCGGCTGAGAGGAATTAGATATGTTTTACTAGAAAACTCATCAATAGTAAAAAAGGGAATAGTCTGTTATCATAGAATTGTACAGGTGGAAGGTACCCTGGGGTCATCTAGTTCAACCGCCTACAATGCAAGAATCTCAACTAGATCAGATGGCCATATAACCTCTGCAATTATATTGTAGGAATTTATTTTTAGGAGACTTTAATTAGTTACCAGAGTTTGATCTGGAAGCTCCTACAAAGCTTTCCAATCATCTTTTTGTTGACCTTGGTCTTTCTCTGGATTTAAGAGTGCAATCGGAACAAATGTGGTTATGGTTTAAACAAGTTTCACACAATTTCTTACAAACATTTAAAACCATAAAGTCACACAAATATTGAAAAGAAGAAACACAAGGCATTTCTTAAACAGTAGAGATTTAAGGTAGCAGTTCTTACCTGTCACCCCAGAGTCCCATATGCACCCACAGCTTTGGTGGTCCAAATCCAAAAGAATCACGCCCATCATGCTTTTGCCCCTTTTTATATAGTTCTTAAACCTTGGGTTCCATATAAGGTGGCTGTCTCAAACATAATGCCCCTCTGATTCTCCCTCTTTCTCCACATGTGACTTTGACCTACACTGCAGAATTCAGTAGCCTTTCTCACCATGAGCTCATCCCAGTTATGTGTCCACCTGGTCTTGCTGAGATTTCTGAAAATAATACAATTCCCTGTTATGATCCTTTAAAGTATTCACCAGATGTCTCAATCAAAACCCTAAACATTTAACACACTTTCCTGCCTATGTTCTGTGTCTGTTTGAGGTTGCAAGTGTTCACAGAATACCTCTATCCCTTGTTCTATTTGCTTTACTGTCCACAAGTTCCTCTTTTCCCAAACTTGCTCCAGCTTAATATACCAGTGTATCAACGTGGTCAATTTTTATGAGACCCCATATCCTTGATGGGTCTAGTATTCACTTCTACTTTTTTCTAATTCAGTTAGGTGCATTCAGCAATGAACAATGTTTGCCTCCTGTGCAGCCCACTGTAAAATTTGGCCTTTCCTGTTTCTGCCAGCAGCTATGAATAATACTCCATTTAACTTCAAGGCAGCAGAGTCTGATAGTTGAATGGTGGTTGCAGGGCCCTTAGCCAGCCCAGGAAATGGCTGAAGCTGTGATCCAAGTATACATGGTTACTAGAAAGTAAGCCCCATTGAACTCTCTAGGAAGCAACCTACATCAGTTTCTTAAGACTTTGCAAATTCTTACAATTCTGTGGTACAGGATTTAGATTCTTGAACCTGAACAACAGCTTATTTGCAGCTTTGCCTTTATCTTCATGGTCTCCCTCTGCAGCATTGGTGGGGAAAGAGTTTCACTGTCCTTCTGGTAGAATCCCTTTTGTATGGTACCATCTTGTTTGCAGGATTTGCATTGGCTGTCAGTCTGCTACCAGGCACTTTCCCCTTATATATCCCTTATATACTGCATTCTGTAGGAGAGTTTGTCTTTAAAAGTTCCAGAGGTACCAAAAGTCAACCCCACAGTAACTCAGACCAGGGCTTTCAGTATAGCTGCCCCTATTCTACGGAGCAGCATTCCTGCTAAGATAATGGCTGGTGCCCACTATGTATGATTTCTAGAAACAACTCATACCACTTTTGTTTCTGCAAGCCTTTTCAACTAATTGAAAAGTTAACTGCCTTAGGTGTTCATTTTGTAATTTTAAACCTACACTGGGTCATTCTTTTCTGCCTTTTAAGGACATGGCTGTAGGCCACCTGGGACCATGTATGTGGAAGGCAATTCCATAATTATCAAATAATCATAATAGCGAGAAGGGAAGGGGGATTTTCTCTCCCACTTCAGATGTTCAACTTATTTGCTCTGTTACCATGCCATGGTTTAGTTGTGCATTGGCTATCCAAACACACTGGTTGTTTACAAATTAGGTTGACATGTCTTTTTGCATTGGAAATAGTGCTGGCGCTCAACTATCCTTTCCTACCTTGTTTTTCTCAATAAGGTCCATTCCATTCTACAGCGATTGAGTCTGCATATTGCCACCATAGTTGCAGTTGTCCTTGCTGTCAATTTCCTGCTTAGATATTTGTTTGGAGGACCACCCTTTTCCAGTAGAGGGCAGCAAACTGCTGAAATTAGCCAAGTGTTCTGTGGAAGAGCTTGGTCTGTTGAAAATTAGACACCGTTTGATTAAGAACTGGCCTTTATCTCCAAAAAAATGGGGTGATCTGGACTAAGGAGAGCAGACAACAACAACCTGGTCATTTAAGTAAGGGGGAGGGGGAGAATCTTGGCAAACCATGCTACCACTTCCTTATAACCGGGAAAGGTAAACCTGTGACCCTCAGGAAGTTTTGTTCCAATTCCCATCCGTCCCAGTTAGCATGGTTCATTTTCAGGGATGATGAGAGTTGCAGAGCAGCAACATCTGCAGGGCACCAGGTTCCCTACCCCTTCTTGAAATGGATTGCCACATCAACCCTTTGTACAGATCTATGGCTCTTCATCGGTGAATCTTCAAAAGGATTCCCAGTCCATAGATTTCCCTTTTTGTCAGAGGTTCTGAGAACCAAATATTCAGTCACATAAGACTACAGTGGTACCTTGGGTTACATACGCTTCAGGTTACAGACTCCGCTAACCCAGAAATAGTACCTCGGGTTAAGAACTTTGCTTCAGGATGAGAACAGAAATCGTGCTCCGGCGGCGCGGCGGCAGCAGGAGGCCCCATTAGCTAAAGTGGTCTTCAGGTTAAGAACAGTTTCAGGTTAAGAACGGACCTCAAGAACGAATTAAGTTCTTAACCCGAGGTACCACTGTATATACTTGCTTCCTGGCTGCATGCTTCCCATGGGCATCTGGTTGGCCACTGTGAGAACAGGATGCTGGGTTTAGATGGGCCACTGGCCTCATCCAGCAGGCTCTTTTTATGTTCTTATACCATACCCCCTTTTTTAAAAAATAAATAAATAGTAATAATCAAGTTTTGGGTGTTTTTTAGCTAGATACTCAAAATCCAGAAATGTCCATATTGAGTGTGTCCATATGAACACTTCTGCAAAATGGAAATTTAAGCAACAAATAAAATAGAGGCTATGACCTATCACTGATGTGCTGTATACTTGGCTCACTTGTACCAGTTGCTCCCTCTTGCACACAGAAGTAGTCAGTGTGGGAGCTACTCTGATTAAATCAGAGAACTGGAAAACTGTATCAGGTGCCAGTTCTGTCATCTATTACTTTTACCTGCCAAAATGAAACTTGGAGGCAACTAGCCTAGACCTTCCCAAAGATTTGAGTCAAGCGGAGAGAAAGGTAGAGATGTTCTAATGCTAAAGATTTAAGGAGAATTCACTTCCCTTTTCCGTCATAGTCAGTTCTGAAAAATGACACTGATGTATCAAGCAACTGTATGTTGTCTAACAAAAGAGAAGAAATACCAGCCAGCTGACAATGCTTCCTAGATGTGCTTAGCACCGTCCAAAAGGGAGCGATCGCTAACAGTCCAGCTCTGCTTATCCCTTTCCTGTGAGATATAAAGCTGTATGGAGGAGAAGATTAGGTGTTATGGCTGTTTGTTACTAAGAATATAATTATCCGCATGCTAATGATCACCGTCTTGATAGGATTAGCCTGGAAGACAATCCCAGCTACAACCCTGGAGACGTTGCCTTGGCCAGTCCACTGTTCTTTAAAGTGGATTTACTTGGTCTCCCTATCCCAGGCAATGCATAAAATATTAATTTATAAAGGTCACATTAGAGCTCGGAGAGAATTTATATTGGCTCTGTTGACTTAAGTAGGACAAAATCAAAAGAAAACAAACCCTGTCCCTTAAAGGCATGCTGGAATGTGACCCTTGTCTCCAGAGGTGTGTCCCGTTTTGTCGCTTGAGATTAAAGGGGAAGTTCTGCTGCTGCCATCTCCTACCTTCTGCTGACACCTGTTCTGCCACCACCATGCATCCTACCGCATGCGCCGTTGTCAGAGGAGTGGCACCACTATCAGTGCTGATTTAGGGTACGATTGCACTGGTTTCAGGTGAGATCTTGCCCAAAATGGCTGCAAACTTGCCCAAAATTGGTGCTGATTGTGGTGGGGCTTCTCCTGGGGGGGGGTAGGCAAGGCACCCACAGGCATGTTGCCTGAGGAGTTTCTGCTGCCTGAAACAGTGGCCTCCCCTGCCTGGTGGCTGGGACGCCTCTGCCTTCTGCTGTAAAGGAAACAATGCAAACCTGTGGGGATGTGATTTGGTGGGTTTGTTTGTTTTCTACAACTCTTAAAGGCTGAAGTAGTCCCAAATGCCAACTGGAAGTTCTATTCAGATATTTTAGAAAATGGGAGCAGCCCTGCATCCATCACTTCTCATTACTGATGATGACTCACTTTTTCTCTGACCTGCAAGCTAGTAGCATAAAATCAAAGTGTGTGTATGGCTGCAAGCATCTCTGCACACACAGATCTCTATCCAGGCACTCACATGAGGCTGGACTGCCCAATACCGGGAGCATTTAAAACCTTTGTCTTCAACAAAGGTGATCTAAGGTGGGTCATAACAGTTGTGCTACCACCACACAAGTATATGGTAAAAGGAAAAAAAAGAAAAGAAAAGGATCCCCAGATGCATGTCTGGATTAAATATGGGTCCTGGATCTGTAAAAATGCAGATTCTACCAATTCAAGCCTTTGGTGAAATCTCACAAGCTGTATGTGTACAGAGATGGGGGTGACCTGTGGCTCTATGTTCTTGAACTACAACTGCCACCATCTCCGACCATTGGCCATGCTGGCTGGGGCTGATGGGGGTTCGAAGTCCAGCTACACCTGGAGGGCCACAGAGCTCCTCACTCCTGCTTTGCTGTCTCAGTACAAAGCATTGCATTCACTGGACCCCTCAAGACTTCACACAAAACTGGGAACTGTAACATGAGCTAGAGACTGAGTTCTACCCAGCAAATTTGTCCCAGTAGCACAAAGGCTTCCACCACCTACACAAAGGAACTTCCTCTTCTTTCCTCCCCATGAATTCCTCCTGATCTAGGGGTTCCTTAAACCCCAGAGGTGGGAAAAGAACATCCTGTTTCATAGGCAGAAGCCCTTGCCCTAGTCGGAGGAGTTGGTTGAAGACAGCCCTATGCTGAGCACCTACGCTGATTCATTTATACATCTATTGAAAAAATTGGGGATATGTTTAGCGAGGATGTGGATAAAAGCCAACCCTCTCTTATCTTACCAGAGTTCTGGTGTTACATACAAACTTCAGAATCTTAAAATGAACCAAAGAAAGCTGAAGCTGACCTCTTTGTGGGTTTTTGTTTTTGTTTTTACAAAAGAAACAAGGAAAAATGAGTAAAATGGAGAGATGGGTAAAACTTCTGCCGCTTCTAGCATCCACCTTGTACCTTATCTTTTCCCCCAAGGCTGTGCAAACAATATCTGGCCATCCAGCTTCCTGGCAATGACTCGAGACCAGTAAACATCACTGAAGGCTGCATCTGCGTTGACTGCAAGGTTATGGTGCAGTCTCTCTCTCTCTCTCTCTCTCTCTCTCTCTCTCTCTCTCCCCCCTCCCCTTTATGACTGAAGCAGGATGGAGAACTGCAGGACTAATCGCTCTGTTTACAGGCCAGCACCTAGCAGCCCTAGGATATGAGTCTGGCATGCGAGCTTTAATTTCCTTTTCCTGTTGGCAAGTCAGGGCATAGTTATCTATCCTGATAGCTTGGGGGGGAGTCTGTAGCGGCACAGATAAATTTTACTTCTGGGCAGCAATCTGCTACCAGCCTTACAAACCTTGCAGGGTTTAATCAATATTTAGGACTGTTAAAGAGAGGGGAAAAGCATGGCCCTATTGTCCGGAGATGTTTTCTGTCACCTTGTGCCTCCTTTTGTGGTGCATCAAGGATTGTTCTTCCTGCCTTGCTAAGCAAGGCATTGCTGTGGGAAGTAGACTGAACAATGCAAAAAGCCGGTGTGTGTGACAAACGGTACAGGTGTCTCTAAGGGAAGCTGTACCTCTGTGGTTTAACCGGTGGCGGCGGCTGCCAGCCCCTCAGATTCTACCTTGCTTTGAAGCCAAAGGCTCTTCAGCTACGAGACTTTTCAAAAACAGGGAAGCAACACTTCTCAGTCCACTGCTTACCTTCATTCCTAACTTGGTTTAATAGACTGACCATCTCCATTCATGAGGGAGGTCTCTGGACCTGATCCTGACCAACTTATCCTGAAGGCAAATAGAGACAGACAGCCCAGCTGTATTAAGTAGGTATTTTAATAATGAGTTCTGGGAATGGGGGAAGGTGAGCAGAGAAGTTTTTGGATGTTCACTTAGTGTAGCATACAGGCAGGGAAAGTACTTAGCACTAGGCCAGGGAAATCTCTGGAGAAGGTGTAAAAGAGATTCCTTCTTGCAAGATGTTCCCTTGTATACTGAGGAACAAAACAACTGAATTGCTAAACCAACCTTAATTGTTGCTTGGCTTTGGAGATTATGGACAGAAAGAACCTTCCTTGCTGGGTGGAAGGAGAGAATCCATAGCAGACAGAGTATTTAAGTGGGAGATGGGTTTGAGCTTATTTCTGCTACGGTGATGAAGGGCTGGCTGCATGTGAGAGAGTGCGCCAGTTATATAGCACTCTTAATGGACCAAGTGTTTTACAGTCTTAATATTTCCTCATTCCTGTGAAATAAGTGCTTAATGTCCCCATTTTATGAGTAAGCAACTGAGGCAGAGGCTGAGTGATTGATTCAGGGCCACCCAGTTGTCTTAACTGAGCAAGTGCAATTCATTGGTGGAAAGAGGCTTGTTATTCTTACTTATTTTATTTCTACACCACCCTTCATCCAAAGATCACAGGTCAGTTTTCAATATAAGAACACATGCAAACTATAATAACAAACAGAAATAATTGCCCCCCTTCCCCTGCACACATATGCACAGTTTGAAGGGGAGAAGCAGAACAGAGCATTCCATAAATATTGTGTTGTCACCCTATGGACCTCTTGCGGAAGAGGCACACGAAGAAAGGCCTCGGGTGATGACTGCACGATACGATTTCATGACACGATTTTATGATTGCTTGATCATAGTGTTTATCTATTCATAGGCATAACCAGGATTTATATTGGGGGCAGGATGGAGGGGGGGGGGTAAAACCAAGCTATCTATGACGCGATTGGTCAGTTAAGTATTTTTATTTACTAGATGGGGGGGCTGTCCCCTGGTTATGCTCATGTATCTTATGATTTGATGATATTGTAAGATGTTTTATGATATAATATTTCACTTTCTTCAATATTGTTTTATTCTGGATTGTTTTATTTGATGTTTTAATTAAGTTGTAAACCACTTTGAGTTGTTGTTTTTTGCTTAAAAATATAAAGTAGCATAGAAACATAATAATAATAATAATAATGATGTTGATGATGATGATGATGTCAAGGACTGGGCCCAACCCATACCAGCTGGGGAGAAGGAGCAAAGCGAACTCGCGCCCCCCCCCCCGTATCAGGGGGTCTGAGAGGCGGGAGCGCGCGGCGGTGGGCGGGGCGCAGGGCCGTGACGCGCGTGTTGTGAAACCCGACCCAGCTTGAGGAGAGGCGGGATTCCGCCCAGTGCTGCTGCTGTCAGGCTGTTGCGCGGCGCGCGTGGGGACCGTGGAATTCGCCGGAGCTCTTTCCACTGCGCGGCAGCAGAACCAGGGCAGGCGAGATATCGGAGGGAGCTGCCTGCTGCTCTTACCCTTAATAACGCGGTTCTTCTCTGCTAGCGGCGGCAGCTCCTTGCTGGTGCGTTGCAGGCGGAGCTGCGGAGCCCCCAGCGCAGGGACTGCGGCGGCGGCGCTGCTGCTGCCGAAGGAGGGATGGATGTAGCGTCGGAGTTGTACTACCTGGCCGTCCCGCTGCTCTTCACCGTCTTGGCCGTGATCCTCGCCTCGGTCTTTGTGAAGCTGAGGACCGGCTCGGAGGGCGACAAAGCGGCGGCGGCGGCGGCGGCCCGGGGAGGAGGCGAGCCCCGAGAGGCCGCCGAGGAGAGCGCTGCGGCAGAGCCGGCGGACGGGGCAGAGGGCGGCGAAGCGGGAGCGGAGGAGCCGGGCGCAGCGGGGCCTCCCCGGCTTCCTGAGGAGGGAGGCGGGGAAGTGAAGGGCGAGGGGAGAAGGCGCCGCGAGGAGGAGGAGATCGGGGCTGCCGAAGAAGAAGAAGGGGACGAGGAGGAGAAAGAGCAGCGCCGGGAGAGAGGCGCCGAGGAGGACGAGGACGCCGCCGCCGCCGCCTCTAGGACTGCCCAAGCCGGACAGCAGAGCCACCCGCAGGAGGTTAAGATCCCCAGCCAGGCGGCGGCGGCTGTCGCTGCAGCTCCAGTGGCGGTAGAAGAAGAGCAGGAGGAAGAGGAGGAGGAAGAAGAGGAGGAGGAAGAGGAGGAGAGCAAGGTAAAGGAGATGCTACTGGGGGAGCCAGGGAGAAGTGTGTGCTTGGAGAGTCTTGTAAGATCCAGGTGTGTGTGTGTGTGTGTGTGTGTGGAAGGGAGCCCGAGAGTCATCTAGTTCAACCCCCTGCAATGCAGGACTCTCCACGAAAGCATTTCTCTCTGTGTGTATATATGTATATGTCTAGATCGCGGAGCTCCTCCACTTCTCCGGACAGCCCTGCTTTTGCATTTTGTGCGCGTTTGCCTCGCCTTGTGCATGTGAGCCAAGCCGGTGACTTGAACTGTGCGGGTATTTGGTGGGGAGGTCAATGCGCTCTCCTTCCTTTCCTTCGAAAGGCCGAGCGAAGCCTCCCGCCGCAGCCAATCAAGGCGCGGGTCGCCTCCTGCCGAGGACTCCCCTCGCCGCACCTCGCCTTTGTTGCTCTGCGTTTCGTGCCCATTCAGCATTCCAGGCAATTGGCGGGCGCAGCTCCAGGGCGATGCCACGTTCCATGCAGTGCTATTACGGTACTTCTAATACTTGCACTGCCCTAGCCCGCATCCTGGAAAGACCGCGAGTCAAAGAGGTACCGTAATAAACGGGGGACAGTGATCCAGGACCCTCGATCTCTTGACAGCATCAACCCAAACTTTGATTGTAACCAACAAGCTGTCTTGGTTTCGCTCTTTGTACGTCCCAGTGCATCTATAAAAGGGAGACCCCGAAAAGCTTTCCATCCCCTTCTCTCCCATTTGTGTAACTGGCTCAGGAAGCCCACCTGTTGCTTCAGGAAGTATGAGCAATGACTGCTTGCTGCTGCTGTAAATGTCGCAGGCCTCATTCAGAAGAGAGACTTTTAAGATTCCCAAAGAAAAGGTGTGCTGATTTATTTATTTCTGAGATAGCTTGATGGAAATAATGCAGACGCAAGCATTACCTTTTACCTTTAGTTGCTTGTGCTCACTTTGGGAATCTGCCTTTGGCGTTTTGTCTTTTCTGTTGGTAGCCTAAATGCTAGAGGAGGCCTTGGAAAGTCTTCTCCTTACTCATAACGCAACTTTGATACATGAAGATGAAATCCCCCTGGGTGGTGCCTTTTCCAGCCTTTAAGAAGGATAGGTCTGGCTTCCTATCTCCTCCTGCAGCCTCATGTTTTCCTATAGTCTCGAGAGTGAGACACATTATGACGTGTCCCCTATTTTCCCAGAGATGTGCCCTGGATATGCATAGGGCAGGAGGCACTGGCATGCAGCAAAGGTAAAAAATACTCGCCTCTGCATTCAGCCCTGGATGGCTTCTGATTAAAAATAAATGAGCCATCTTCAAGACACAAAGAGGTGACACACTGCCTGCTTTATCAACCTACCATTGTTCTAGTTAGGCTATAAACCATGTGTTGTGCTTAAAGTCCTTCATATCTAAAATATGCCCCATTACTTCACTCTCTTCTAGACTGGCACTGGAACCGTATTCCTTGAAGTAGCTCAGATATAGTCCAGACAAGTGGGACTTGCAGCAACATTTGGCCATGCTTTTTCTAGGATACTCCATTCCATTTCCACTCCCACCCCCTTTTCCTGTCCCCTCCTCAACAGTCGGCATTCCCATGGCCACTGTGGGGTTGTTCTATGCAGGGCTGCTATTTTGATTTTATTTTTCTACAGACTATTTTGTACTTTTCTCTGTCTGCAAGTACTTCTGCACATCACCTCCTGGGCCATTTTGGCTATACAGGGATCCACACTCAAGGAATGAATCTGCTGTTACCATATAGGATTATTACAGATGCACACTGAAGTATCACAACAGATGGCTCCAGGCAGACCTTTTTTTAAGACGCTTGAAGTGTAAGGAGGGTGGTGGCTGAATGTTCATTTGAGGGGATCCCCTCATTCTTAACACTGCACCCTGTGTTAAGGTCATTTCCAGGGCTTTTTTTGAGCAGGAACTCGGGTGGGATCCATTGCCATTATAAGAGAACAAGGGAGGTGTTTATGGTGAGTTCCAGCACCTCTTCTTCCATAAAAATAGCACTGGTCATCCACCACCACCCCATTCCTGTTGGAGTGCACTCTGTCCAGATAGATGAGTCACTGTCGTCACCCACATGCACAAGGCCAAGAACAATTCCTTTGCTGAAGAAAGAGGCTGCCATGAGGGCTTGAAAAGAGGGAAGCAGTGCACAACCCCACCCACATCAACACTTTTGCCTAAGTGCAACACAGAATGTGCGCTGCCTAACATTGACTTGGTTGTTGAGGAAAATCTACTGCATATAGAAAGTGTGTGTAAAGTCTCATGAAGAGTCCAAGTCTAGCCTCGTCACCACTGTGGCATGACTCAGCATTGGGGAGGGAGGACATTGATTCCTCCATTATGTTGGGTGTATAATCTTTGCAACTCCATAGAAATAGCACTATTAAAAGAGCTGTTGTGTTGTAGCGGCTAGACGACAGAGGACATGAGCTGCAGTCTAGAACGCTTCCAGTTCAAATCTACTCTCCATGATGGATCTCACTAGGCATTGCTATATCATCATCATCATCATCATTGTTTCCTGAATTACTGCATACACCAAAGCTGAATAATTCCCCGAATAAAAGGTGATTTTGGAGGGGATTTACTAAATGAAAGTAATTTATATGTGTCCCTCCCCCCCCCCAATTTGATTTGGAATAGCAGTGGGAACACCAAACTTGTGTCTCTTTCCAAATGGTGTTGGAATATAATTCTCATCACCCCGACTGAATAACGCTGCTCATGGTTAGAACAATTAAAAGGGCTGGTGCCTGGTTAGGTGTGTGCAGGAGCGTGG